AACTAATCTTTTCCATAGGGAATTTAATCTCTCAAGGGCAAAATCTTTTGAATTTCCTAAGCAAATAGGATCTTCCTTTAGTGGCACTGTTACAATGTAACTCCCTTCTTCATTCTGCTTATGAGTTTGCACATAATGTTCTTCACATATTGCTGTTTCTTTATTTTTTGGAATGGCTATTTCAACATTCTCTATTTCCCAAAATTTTCTCATTGTTTGTTCTAAGTCATTAGATGTTTTCATTGACCGACAATGTACGCGGCTCTGTTCTTCTGATGTAATGCTTGCCGACACTATAAACCCGAACACGCTGTTTTGTAAAATAAGACTCGAGTTTTCATAGCGAATTTGTTCAGATTTTAATATCTCAAAGAAAACCTCAGCTCCTAAAAGCATCTCTATATGTTCTGGAACATTAAAATTCTCATCAGCTAATTTTATGTTACAAATATCCTGCATTTTAATATCAATTTTCCTTGAAGGAATCGAATCTTGCGTGATTTTTGGTACTACTAATAAGTCTAAATGTCTCATGTAACTTTTATCTTTATTGCTAATGCATGCTGAAACTCTTTTTCGAATTGTAAACAAGGAATCATTTAATCTGGAAATAGTAATGTTTACCTTCTCATAATCAAAGTTGAATTTATTCCCACAGTCTCTGCTTATAAACGATGAAGTACTGCCGCCATCAAGTAATGTTTTGACTGGATGTAGCTTACCCATACCATCACTAATAAAGCAAATAGCCATGATGAGAAGAACACTTTTTTTGGATCTGTTTACACTAGTCGCTGTAAGCAGAGTATTACTGCTGTTAGGCCAGAAAGTCTGGCGCTAGGGGGGAAAGCACACTGGAACTACTCGCTGTTTCGTTTTTATTTTTTCCTTCTCTTTTGATGATTTATTTTCTACTGGAAAATGCAGTGTCGTGGTGTCTTTTCCCACAAACGGAACACGAAAACTTTGATTTGCAGTTTTTGACGGAATGGTTTAATGCTAGGTAATTAAAGCATAATTTATGACTTTTGATGATTTCAACCCGATCATTCACCGGTTGTTTCAAGAAATTTGGGCGTTTTGCCAAAAAATGATTTTCCTCACAAAGAACACACTTTAAACCTTTTACATCGGCAAAGAATACCTTTGAAACATTTTTCGACGTTTTGTAATTGTTGCGAGATTTTTGAAAACTGTTCACACTTGCAGCAAGGGACTTTCCCCGAGATGTGATAAATAAAATTGCTTCCTTTGCCATTTGTTGAGGCGGAAACGAACTTTCGGCTTGCCTGATGTGATAAATAAAATTGCTTCCTTTGCCATTTGTTGAGGCGGAAACGAACTTTCGGCTTGCCTTACAGAAATATGGGCTGACGTTTCTCGATCTAATGTCTCAAACAATTTGTCTGATATTATTAACTGCTTCAGAGTTTCAAAATCAGACACTTTCCTCAATTTTAAGTAATATTCGAAATTTGTGGTTAATCGCGACACAAACTGCACATGGGGACTCATTTAGGCGTTGAGCCTTTTTAAAATTTTCTAAAACAATTTCTGGTGTAGGTTCGAATTCTTTTAGACTAATAGCTTTTACTTTTTCATAGTCACTTAGCTCCTCATCTCTAATATACATGATAATGTTCGAAGCCTGTTCCCCTAACAAGTTTAACAATATTTCCGCTTTAGATTTCTCAGGCACATTTTTTGCTGCGAAAGCTCTTTCTAAAGACGAGAAAAAATAACTCCAGTTTTCAGGTTTACTTGGAACCTTCAATGTTAGTGTTCTTATACTTTTAATAAGAGTTTCGTTTTGATCGTTATTAACACTTTTGGTTTCAGCTCGCAATCGAGCAATTTCCAGTTCTGTTTTACATCTCTCTAATTTAATTTGTTCTAACTGTAATACTTTAGCTTCTTCAGATTTACGATGCTCTACTATGGAATTACCCAACTCTATTACCGAATTTGGATCGGAATTAAAAGCTTCACTACTTTTAATCGCTAAATTTAAATCTGTAACAGTTATCTTTTCACTTAATTCTATATTCAGTTCTAAAGCTAATAGCTTTAAATCTCTTTTAGTGCACCTTTTATCAACCTTGTACTCTTAATGAAATAACACAAGATAATAAGTAATTCTTCTCAATTACTTAAACACAGTAACACAGTATATAAATGTTCACAAAACTCTTACACAGTATCTCAAAACAACAAAATGGCACTTTATTCTTAAATCGAAACTGCTGACTTAACTTGTTACTTGTAAATAACTCATAATCCATAGATCTCTGGCCCATGACGGACCACGATGTTTTGCACAGGCACTACACTATAATTCAATAAACTCAGGAACAATGGACTGTATTATATCTCACTTTTATTCTCATTAATTTACATCGTTCATGGCCACTCGAAGCCACGAATTCTCTCACACGCTCTTCGCTCACAATCCCATGTCACAAACTCCAAGAGCTCAAGGTGCATGCGCCGTCGCTAGTAATGAAATGCACGCGCAGGCGCAACACAAGGGTTATTTAAGGTCCAGTTGGTCACGAAATGAGAACTACAGTAAAAATCAAAACTTTTATTTGGAACATGTAGATACACTTTTCAGCCACCCCTCCAACTGAGACATTTGTTACAGCATGGTACCAGCTTTCCAATACCCTCGTCATAGAAGGCACCCACCCTTTCTTTCACCGAATTCTCTATGCTGGTCTGCAGCTCTTTGTCTGAGCCAAATTTCTGTGCTAGGCAGTGTTTCATGTGAGCAAAGAAATAGTAATCGGAGAGAGGTAAGTCTGGGGCGTATGGTGGGTGATGAATCATGTCCCATAAAAATTGCTGCAGGAGTTTTTGTTGTAGCTGCAGTGTGCAGCCACACATTGTAATTAAGAAGGACAGTGTCTGATGACAACAGTCCTCTGTGCTCGTTCTGAATTATCCTTCATAGACATTTAAGAATAATGCTGTACGAGGCTGCAGGCTTGCATTCCATGAGTTCCACCAAGAGAACACCTTTTCTGTCCCAGTAGCCATGCACTTTCTGCTGGAGAAGGTTCACTTGAATTTCTTTAGCTTACTCGGGGAATGAGTATGCATCCACTGTTTGGAGTGCTGTTTTGTTTCTTCAGTTTCAAAACAGACTTATGTCATATCCCCTGTCATGATTTTGTTCAAAAAATCTTCTTCATCATGGTAGTGCTGGAGAAACAATGAGGTGAACAAATCAGTCAGCACGGAAATTGTGAACCAACGATTTTCGCCAATCGCCTGATTTTTCTCGCTGAACAAGATCATTGGTTGACATTCACTTCCTTTCCTGCCTGCCTGCATCATGAATGTCTGTACATCTTGCTTCAAAGCTCCTGCACCATTGCCACTACGTTATTCATTCATCGATGAATTTCGGCTGCTTTCTACTCAACAAGCAGGATCAAATGTCAGCATGCATTTCACACTTAGTGGAAGAGGTTATTGTTCTAGGCATGTTTACTGGACAAATGAATGCTCACAACTGACAACTGAGGCCTGACATAATTGACGGGCATACTAGAGACACTAGGAAACACAACTTCACTCAGCTTCATCAAATTTTCATGAGATTTTTTATTTTGTGATCGATCGTACCATGAAAATAAAATAGCCCTCGTAAATATGTGTTTAATAAATGTTTATGTGCAGCATGTATATGCATATATTTTAAATCTGCTTTACAAAGGTATTTTGGGGGGGGGGATTAACAAGTAATTTGTCTAACTTTGGCCTCATTGGTTAATTGGAAATCCTGTATTAGGGTTTCATTTCTTGGAAAAATTACATGAAGTGTTAAAATATGTTTAATTTTTGTTAAATGATTAAGAAGACAATTTTCTACATATATGTTAGGTTTATACAATAAAAAGTATTTTATTACTATTCCTGTTAAATATTTTAAGATAACTAAGTGATTTAGTTATGTAATAGGTAGGCAGAATGGAATGGGAAACTTGGATATTTACCGTCTATTATCTGTTTTGCCACTATAATTTCCATACTAATGCAGAAACCCAGCTGTTGTCCATATATTATGTTTAGTGTTTTCATATGCTTATTCGTGATAAGCCATACCTTTAATCTGATATATTTGCTGGCACAATATCATAATATTATCATTTATGTTGTTAACAACTGAAGGAAGATGGACTGTGACTTATATTTGAAACTACTGGGTGATTGGAAAGTAGCAGACATCAAACTTTCAAAAACTGAAATTTCTTGAATGAATAATGGCATACCTATTCAGTGGATTGCATATCTAATATAGCTCTTGAAGCTGTTGTTAATGTTTTTAGCTTTGTTTTTTTTGTTTGGTGCCAGATGCAAGTGAGTTTTTCCCAAGCAGAATGAATTTTTGATTGAGCATTTCGCAAGGCATAAATTTCATTATGATGGCATCTTTTTCACATTGTTTGTTGATAATTGTGACATTTTGTTCCTGGCTTTGCATATTTTGTCTAAGCTTGGAAGAGACAAGCAGCCACTGCTCCATTTATAAGGTGGCTGCTTCAGTTTCTTGAAATCAGATTACCAAGTGGGAAATTATTGTCTTGTTAATTTCACAGTACATTTTACAAGGTCTCTTTAAATGCTATAATAACATTTCTGTGAAAATATGTTGCAGTGTAATGCTCAATCATAAAATTGTATTCTGCCTGAAAAAAAAAAAACTTATAACCATTTTGCGCTAAAAAAAAAATGTTTTTTAAAGCTAGCACTATTAACTGTAATGTCAAATGATAAATTACTTGAGATATTATAGGAGTGTAATCTGTTGAAATGATTTATTATTAATGTCTGTTTTGGAATTTACACAGATTTTGAAATTTTGATGTGCATCACTTTTGAATCATTTTTTATTAAAGTTTTAAAGTTGTGTGATACTTTTGATAAAAAAATGTTTTTGTTTTTTTTTCCATAATTTTTTTAAATATAAGAAAAATGTGTGTTTGCTTTTTCAGTGTTGTGGTTTTGGAAAGCAGGCCCACAAATGACTTAAAAAGTCCTTCAAATTTATATATTTTGACCGGTCATGAAAACAGCTTTTGAGGAGAACTATATTCAGTGTTGTGTGATAAATAGAAGACTAATTCTTTATGCTGCTGTACAGCAACAGATTATTATTCCAAATCAAGCTGCTGTTCTATAAATAAAATGCATGCGTTCTTTGTAGCATTATGTAAAGCAAATATGACCTTATTGTAATTTGAGATTAATATTCTTATTATAATACTTAGAGAAAAATATGTTCAAGAAGGAATGAGCATTTTACCTGCTCCTGCATATTTTTCAGAATTTAGCATATCATTCTTTTTATGATTTTCTATTGATACATATTAATTAAAGCAACGTTTTCCTTAATTCATGTTTATTCATTTTATAATGAAGTCTGATGCTTGCTAAATTTCACCATATCGTGTTCTTGTATTTTGATCATACTTTTAGTTATCTGTAATTGTAGTGATTTTTTTCCCCTGCTGTTTTCTGTTGAAAAGCAGTTTGTAGTAAATGCAAGTGTATTTATCTCATCCGAACCTGACACTTTTATTGTACTTCTGCAAACAACTACTATCAGCTTATGCAGGAGCTCTAATTTATTTTTCCTTCATTATCATTGTTTTTCAGCTTATGTGTTCCTGTAGATAGTAAATACATGTGTTATTTTTCTGATATTGTACTAGTCGGAAATATGAGTTCAACGAATCTACTGAGTAATGTCATGGAGTGTTCAATTCTTGAATTTTCAAAGATCACTCAGCTTTTGTCATATCAGATATATGACTAAAAACATGAAGAAGAATTTAACGACTAACTATGTAATTAAGATATTTTTAAAAATATGCAATATTATTATTTTCAGTAGTCTTAAGCTATGCAACATTTTTTTTTCCAACTCAGGTTCAAATGGTTATGTGATAACTCTTTAATAACTTCTTTTTTTAACTCAAAGCTGATACCATGACTTTTGTAATTTATGTTAGTTCTGTCTAGCTATTTATTTCATGCTTTCTAATTTTATATCTGTACTTGTTTGTGAAGAATGATGGCATAAGATAATTATGCCTTTGGAAAAAATATATTTATTCTATGATTCCACCAAAGTTTTGTACATTTTACGAGTATTGTGGAAAGATGTTTGTTCACTTTATGCAAAGTGGTGTTAGATATGGAAAATTTTTATTTATTGATAGTGTGCCAAAGAGATTTTGCAGCGATTTAATAATTTTACTGTAAATGATTATGTGATTTAAATGTTGATTTTGGGTTGTATTATTCTGCATTCCCCCATCTTTTTTAGCTTAAAATTTTGTCTTTTGTGATAGAATTTTTTTGTGTTAGATGAAATTTTTTATAATGTATGTAAATAAATAAATGTAAAAAGTTGTGAGTCCTAAGACTAAAGATTGATGTAATTTGCAGAAAGAAATGTTTAATTGTTCAGCTGACCTGTAAGATGTGTTAAAGTTTTTGTCAACATCCAGTTGCATTTTGAAATTTTATAAAAATTTAATGTAATAGTTTTTCTTATGTATTTATACACTTGTGTATGTAATCTGTTTAAAACGTATAATCAATTATTAGAAATTAAGACATTGTATTGTGGCTGGCTGTCTTATTGACCCAAATATTTTATAATACTCTTGTTACTTTTTCCTTACATGTGAAATGTAATTAATTCTGTTAAATTTTTCTGTTTATATGTTTCATTTGTGTTTTAAAATCCTATATTAGTAACTTTTATAAAGCAATTGCTGTGTACAATTTTAGTATCTTTAATTTTCTTAGAGCAAAATTTCTGAATATACTTTCCTCTGGATTTTACTATAGTGCATTTAGTCAAATTCACAGAAATTTAATCAGTTTTAGTTGTTAAAATGTTTAGCTGAGATTATCCAAAGTATTATGATAAAACTTTGAGTTTGCTGTAAACACCTTTTCCCTTAGCAGTAGATCCATAATCTGTTCGTATATGTAGGTCATGGTGGACACCAGCATTCACTCTTTAAGGCTGCTATTGCACCATCTATATCCTATATTAATAAGGATAGAAAGTGGAACACAGGGAGATCCACAATATCCTTGAAGGTGATTAAATGACCTTTGGGTTGAACTGGGGTCTCCCGTGTGGAAAACAAAGATCACAATGCCAGGCAAAACCATGCTTCAGTTTGTCCTAATGATATTGGCTCAGTTTACTGGTACAGGCACCTGATTAGTCATTGAAACTGCATTAAGGGTTTGAACTTTGAAGGATTTGTTTTCAAAGTTTAAAATTTAAATGCAAAATAGTAGCAAAAAGGTAGTTGTATCATATGATAAAATTGAATAAACAAAATTTAAATTAGAATTGAGTGTTAAATTTTGTCCCATTTGCTCAAATGGTAGATATGCAGCGGAGTAATAAAATGCATGAAAACTTTTATATTCATTGTGATTTTAAAATTCAACATAAAATGATTTTCTGTGCTTGTGGCTCTTATGACAAGCTTATTAATAAAAAATGCAAAATATTTTTGTTATGTTATCTGTTTAGATTTTCACTGTTATACACGTTGGATTTTAGAAGTCTATTTTATGTGAATGTTTTTATGTTAAATTTCATTGTTAGGTTTGTGCATTTAGATATTTCTTCATAACAATTATATGTAATTGGAAATTTTTTCTTGTGAGTGATGTTAAGTATGTATCAGAAATGTTATGAGAGTGTAAATTGTACAAAGAATACAAAGTTTTCCAAAATGGTATGTTACTTTTAAGTGAGTACTATTTAAAAAGAAAGAGCGCTTTCAGTTTTACTTGCTGCTTAGTAGAAAAGCAGTTATATTGGTAGTGCTTGGAATTGTGAGAATGCTTGTTTTGGAAGTTTATGAAATTTTCTAATTTTCTAAACTTATTGCTCAGAAGTGTGATAGATAAACTGTTTCTGTGTGACTGGATATTTCTTGTTACCTATAACCATCATTTACTTTGAATCTTGAGAAATATTTGAAATATTGGTAGAAGTGGAAAAAAGATTAACATATTCTTTATTTTTGAAAATTCTGATAATTCCAAGTACTGCCTTTTGTATTATATAAAGTCACCTACACATCAGCTGTGATGCAAATGCTCCATAACATCAGTGTTTTGTAAGCTGAAAATATTTATCAAAAATGTAATTACTGTAAAAAATAAAATGAATTTTATGACCTTAAAGCATCTTGTAATTTGAGCTTGCATATTTTATGTTATGGTATGTGTGGGCCATCTTATGTAGGAAGTTTCCTAGAATTGGACAAAATATGCTGCATTCAGTAGACTTTTGGATAAATGGCTTTCTCCTCATTCAAGTCTTATTTATGATTATCTCTTAAGCATGGTACATGAACACCTTGCACAAAAAATACAGTTCTATATCTCTCATTCTACTAGGCCAGTCGACAGAATTTGTGTTTTTCATATCTCAGAAGCATAAATTAGGATATTGACGGGTAGTCAAAAAGTTCCTGAAATTTCATTGTAATTCTTTATTATTACAATACAATTACACATTTACTTAATTACCATCAAAGTATGCTCTGTCAGAACATACACACTTGCTCCACCTCTCCTGCTATTGCTGGAAACAATGATTAAAGTCCTGTTGTGATATCTTCCAAAGTTCAGGCATGGCATTGGTTTTGATGTCTTCTATGGTGCCAAAACGATTAACTTTAAGGCCCATTTTGATCTTAGGGAACAGCCAGAAATCTGATGGTGCTAAATCCGGTGATTAGGGAGGCTGGTGGAGGAGTGGAATGTTCTTTTATGCGAGCCATGCCTGCACAGCAATCGATGTGTGGGAGGAAGCATTGTCATGATGCAGTAACCATCCTCCTTGCCATTTGGCAGGACGTTTTCTTTGGATTGCCTCCCTCAATCTTTTCAAAACTTGCAAATAAAAAGGGCCATTAACATTTTGAACAGCTGGCATAAATTCATGGTGCACCACACCTTCATTGTCAAAAAACGCAATAAGCATCACTTTTGTTTTGGATTTGACATCACGTGATTTCTTTGGTCGAGGAGAGGACGTTGTGTGCCATTCTGATGACTACATCTTTGTGTCTCTGGGTCGTAAACATACAACCAGGTCTCGTCACCGGTAACAATTGTCTCAAGAAACTTCGGGTCCTCTGTGCTTTTTTCAAAACATTTGGCCACCGTCAACTACTGAGTTTCCATTTTATCCGGATTCAGCAGCCACGGGACAAACTTTGCACTGACACATTTCATCTTCAAATCATCTGACAGGATTGTATGAATGGATCCATGACAGATCCCCACCTCCTGCGCTAACTCATCAATCGTCATTCTTCGGTCTGATCTGATTGTCTCACTTGCTCGGCCATTCCTTCATTTCTGGAGGTTGAAGATCTCCCACTGTGGGTCTGTCTTCCAGCAATTCCTTCCCAACCCGAAATCTTGATAACCACTCGTAAAAGGCCTTTTTCTTTCAAGAATAAACTGTAATGCTAGTCTCTGAAGCAGATTTCCCCACTCTTCCAATGTACTTGATGTTCGTCCTTTGCTCGAACTTCGACATCGTCCCAACTGATCTCCACACCCTCCTACCTTCAGCTATACTGTCTGTTATGAATTCCATTAGTAAATAAATATAGTGGTAGTAAAAAATAAATTAATTATTTGTGGTGATAAAGAGTTACAGCGAAATTCCGGGAACGTTTTGACTGCTCCTCTCATATTAGATTTATATACAGCATTTTTCTAACATAGCTATTTTGACACAAAATCTGACTTTTTCTGAAATGGCATAACTATTTTTTCCCGCATTTCAATTCTACAACACAAATTATGCCAGTACGAAGTTTTATAAAAATCGTATAAGTAGTTTTTAAAAATTAGTTCTCAAAATTTTAACTCCTCAGTGTTTTAATTGAATTTGGTATATATTTATTAATATATCTTTTTTTTTATTATTATTATTATTATTATTATTAAACTTGCTGTCTTCTTTCTTTCACAATTTGAAACTTAGGTTCATTCCAAAAAAATTTCGCAGCTATTTTCTAATTCGTTTTTTAAATTTGTATTTTTTGTAATTTTATAAATTTTTCGAAAATGATTTTTAACTATAACCTATAAAATATTTCGGCGCATTTTAAAAAAGATGTATTAAGATGTCCAAGTATGGTTTAAGCACTTTTTATAATTGTTTGAAAGAATGAACGATGCACCTTTTATTGTACTCGTGCATAGTGAAAAGGAAAGAAAAATTTGTTATAATAAATTAAGAATTTTGCAAAGTGTGGCGCAGAAAAAGTGCGCAAGACAATTTTTTAAATTTCTCATTAAGTTTCTCACCAAATTTTATAAAATTTAATATTTAGGCATAGTATTGAAATATGGGGAAAAAAGACTGTATGACATTTCAAAAAAGTCCGATTTTATGTCAAAATAACTGTTAGAACAATGGTATAATATATATATATATATAATAAATCTAATGTATCCTAAGGCGCGCTTTCGAGACATGAAAAACGCAAGTTAAATTTCGTCAATTGGCCCAGTAGAACTGGAAATGTAGAACTGTTCCGTCTCTCTTTTTTTTTTTAAACGTATACCTCTTATAATTGTTCATTCTTTAAATTTTGCACATGAGGTCCTCTTTTCTTAACATGTTAAACAAATTGGTTAAAACTGAACTGTTAACATTTTAGTTAATAGAAAGTTGGTACGGGATAGGCTGAGCTACTTTTATCTTTATTCTCGTTCAATTAAATTTTAATTTCTGGTTGTTTAATCATCTTGGACGCAGCCTGTGGAATCGCATAAGCATTTTTGTCATTCTGTATAATTCTTTACAGTTATTTTGGAATTTCCCTGTTAATTTAAACATTAAATGTTTTAACAGGGTTGCCACGCTACCTGGAGAATCGGGAAAAGTCAGGGAATTCGAAAATTGACCAAAATATTCAGGGAATTTAAGTATTTTTGTCAAAATCTGGAAAAGTCAGGAAGTTTACAAACGATCCCGCCAAAAAAAAGCGATTTTTGCGCCGACGTCGGAAGAGAAGAGGGTATTTTTTGGCGAATTATGTATCACGTGAGTGTCCATTTGGGGTAGCTGGCATAGAGCCAATTTTCGCAGCTCCAATTTGATTGTCTTTTAGAAAGGCAAAGCAACTTTCCTGCAACTTTTGTTTCCAGTATTCTCGAGAATCGCATGTGCAGTGCATGAACTAAAGAAAGTACCTGTTCTCGTAAAAACAAAAGGGTTAATCCTAGTTTACGGTACCGTGGAGGTTAGAATCAAAGAATATGTATGTAAAGAAGGAAAACCTCTCTGCAACAGACGTGGCTGTGGCTCCGTTTCATCATAGAGGGAAACAGCTGTGCATGTCTGATATATTCTGTTGCCAAAGCTCGAAACCGTGTCGAAGTTCGAAAGGTCACGTTATCAAGAGTTCATAAATGAATATCTTTAAAATTTTTTCAACCACTTGCGTTAAAAAGACGTGCCACGCACGTCAGAGCTTTTTCTCAAACCGCGAGCGACGTGAACACCACGTCGATAAGCATTTATCGCAAAAATGAAAATAACGTGGTGCACACGTCGCCTAACAACGAGATGTTTATTTCTCGAGTTTACAGCTCTGGATGCACTCGCAGATGCGGAGCGGCGTAAATGAGACACTTACCGCTTGTTATATTGTAGATCACGGCACGCAACCGTGAAGTTTAGTCTTAGCGCAGTGTTAAACTCTAAAGGAAAAAAAATATTTTTGGGCGCAAGTAAATAATTCATGGATTAGTTATTTTCAGGGAAAAAAACTACGAAAATCCATTTTTAAAATTATTGCGAAAAATCCAAGAAGAAACGTCTTGATAAACGTTTTTCTGGATTTTCGCAATAATTTAAAAAAGGATTTTGTAGTTTTCTTTTTGTCAAAGAGCGTTCTTCTTAACACGTGTTTCTCAATTTCCTGTACACATCGCGGAGAGGGAAATTCTGGCCGCCAGGTTCCGTCGCCAAATCCCTTGGCAAATGTTCCCTCCCATTCTAGCGGCGTAAAATAGCATTTTACTTTATGGAACTTTTCTTCTTTACATAGACGTTTTTGGTTAGAATAATAATGAGATGGCGACATTTGATGCGCAGTAAACGGGTTTTTGGTCTTGGCGACAATTTTTAAAATCGTGCCAAAAGCCTTACCGTATACTAGTGAATTTTACGCAAAAATCTTTTTAAACCTTTTTTTTTTTTCTATTAATAAATATTGCCATTTTGCATAAAATAAAAAAAAATAGTAATCAGTCATCTAGGCTAGCCATGTAATATAACTATATTCGCTAAAATATCGTTGATTATTCTAATTCAATTTTTAAGTAATTAATTTTTAGTTATTCATATAATTTAATGTTGCTTTTCCCTCTAAATTTATTTATTATTAGTAAAAAATATTTACAAATTTCAGGAAATTTTCTCTGGCAAATCCTGAATTAACATAGCGTATGATGACATACCATCACGAAATTTTAATGCGCATATTTTTTCTTGTATGCTGCGAATAATATAAATACTCATTTTTAAATAGATTCTTCTTCGCTTAGCTGCAGAATGTCTGCAAAAAGCCTTATTTATTCAGATTGGAAAGATTCATCTCAATCTTCAGTGGAGAAAACACGACTATTATAATTATATTGTGTTTTCAAGGTTAAGGTGCCGTTTAAGAACATACCTCACGAAAATAAATTTACCTAAAATCTAACCTAACTCTTTAGCATTGCGTTGGATTAAGGACGGATATCCTCGTGTTGAACTGGTGATGATCATGAGTATAATTAATAAAACATACATTTGTTCCAATATTATATCTTAAATTTTATTAAGTTTCTTAAGGGAAACTAAACCAAAATTATCAAACAAAGTTATACAAGAATAATTAAGAATAAAATGTACTCTGGGATTTATGAATAATTAGTGAATTGCTACACAATACACGAATAAGATATTAATTTACCTCTAGCACAGCCAACGTAATACGCGGATAGACTGGAATTTTCTTGAAACACACCTGGAAAACCTGGAAAAGTCAGGGAATTTCATTCTCCTGTTTGAGTGGCAACCCTGTTTTAAGATCTTAAAAAATTATTAAAATTTTCTGTTTTAAATTATCCATAAGATTGAAATCAAGTTTTTAACTGAATGTGTT